CCCTAAACCCTAAACCCTGTTTCTTTTCCAAGCACCCAGTCACCAGCGCAGAGCACCACAGGCGCTCCCATTGGGGGCCTGTCGCTCGGGGCAACTTCCGCTGTATGCAGCTGGGCAAGGTTTAGGGTTTACGGTTTAGGNNGTTTAGGGTTTAGGGTTTAAGGATGCAGGGCTTGGGATTCATACGTCGGAATGCCTAGGGATCCGGAGATCGGGACACAGGGATTTTTTTTCTCCAAGTTTCTGGGCACCGGAGCATTTTGCACTGATTCCGTCCGGACATAGTTGTCGGATTGGCATCCCAGAACGCGCAGGATACTGTAGCAGAAACGGAGTCGCATCCCAACGTGCATGGCAGCACGAGTCTTGGAGGTCGGATCAACAAGAATACCATTCCAAACTCCATGTTGCTGCTGTGTTGTGGAGTCAACACGCTTCCAAATTCAATGTTGCTGCTGTGCTGTGGGGTCAATACCCATCCAAATGAAGTTTTCCATGTTGCCGCCGCGTTGTGGAGTCAACATGCGTCCAAATTCTATGCAGCAGCTTTGTTGCAATACCCATGTGCCTTTCCAGCATTTCGAGACCTAGAAGTCGGAGGGTCCAATTGGCAGCAGCTTTCGAGAGGCACTGCACAATTATGTGTACCTGACCAGTATGGAGGCCCCAGAAGCTGGGAGGGCATGCCGCGTACTACATTTGTTGCTGCGTTGTGGGGTGAATACCCATTCAAATTTGTATAACCCTAAACCCTAAAGGTTGCTGTGTTGTTCGGGTTGGGCCCCTCCCTCCGAACCCTCCGATTCGTACAAAGAGGGGTGACCCTGGCTCGACGTCCCAACTGTAATGGAGTGGTATGCGCCTGGACAATTGCTGTCTGGTGTTTGCGGGCACAAAGACGGGTAGACTAATGAAGCTGTAAGCCAATGATCGCGAGAGGCAGGGTGGACAGAACTTACCCAGAGCTGCGCTGAGTGCCTGTGCCTACGCTGGGCTTTGCAGCACGTGAGCCTGGCTTGTGCCAGTGATTTTGTGCAGGCAAAGCTTTGTAAGACCGGGTCACACTTTTCTAACAATGTAGTTGGTGGACGTGATGTAATTCTCTTGTTTGCATTTGTGGTTGCATTTGTTGCGATTGCCATTTGTCTCTCCGAGATTTCACTGTCAAGCCTTGCAGCACATTGCATAGACCTGTCAATTGAAGCCGTCTGAGATGTTTTCACGCGCCCCGCGGTTTAAGAACAGCCGGGCGGTGCCGTTTCCAGGCCCCGGGGCCTATTACCCAAAGGGAGTGGGTTTTACCGCAGCGTATTCCTTTGGGCCGCCCAAGTCCAAGCGCCAGGCGAAACCCCTGGCTGCAGTGCCCGTGACAGCTTCTGGAGGCGGAGGCCCAGGTCCTGAGCCCCTGGATGCAGTGCCCGTGACAGCCTCTGCCTCGGGTCCTGTGCTACTCACGCAGCTTGCACGTCGTGTGCAAGAGGAGGGCTGTCACCACACCCCGCCCGAGAGCATGGAGGCCAAGACGCAGATCCTGGCCAGCGTGGATCTTGAGCAGCTGGTGCTCGGAGAGCAGCTGGGCCAGGGAGGCCTGGCTCGAGTGTGCACGGCCAAAACAAAAAATCACTTGCTGGCAGCCAAGTTGTACTGGCAACGGTATGGCCTGCTCCCCGGGCAGGAAGAGCAGGATCGGGCCTCGCTGAAAAGCGAGGCAGACCTTCTATGGAAATTGCGACACCCCAACATCGTCAGTGTGGTGGCATTGATCGTGCAAAGTGGCCTCGTGCAGGGCATGGTGCTGGAGCTTTGCGGGCCTTCCTTGCAGGCTGCAACGCAGCAGGAGCGGCTTGCAGCAACGCACTTAGCAAGCTTGCTACACCCCACCTGCTCTGGCATTGAGTATCTTCATTCAAACCTTGTGGCCCACCTTGACATCAAGGGCAGCAACGTCACTCTGCATTCTGCTTTTGGCATCAAAATCATTGACTTCGATGCGGCGCTGGTTTTGCACAGCCCGCATCAGAAGGTACGACGCCTCCCAGGGAACACCTGCAGGTTGTCGCCAGAGGCAGGAGCAAACCGCCCATACAGCCCCTTGCAGGAGGACGCTTTTGCTGTTGGGGCAATGTTCACCGATATCGTTGAGGACCTGCGTGTGCAACAGGGTGAGTTGTCGTGGGAAGCCAAAGTGTTGCAGGCTCGAGTGCGGTGCTTGTCGCTCCCAGCGGAAGACAGGCCTGAAACATAAGCGCGTTTCAAAATAACTTTTACTTGCCGCACTTAAGCACCATTTGTTTTCACACTCTCGGCGTTTCAAGTTTAAATCGTGTTTGCTTAAATGTTGCCGCCAGATGTTCTCAGCAGGGGGTTCGGTTAAACTGCTTAAACGCAGACTCGGAACACCGGGAATGTTTAAACATTCTGTGCTTAAGTGTTTAAATTCGGGCTGGTTTAAACAGTTTAAACACAACCCCCTGCCTAACCCTGACAGGCCAACCATGAGCGACATGCTTCAAGATCGGATTTGGCGTGGTGCAGATGAGGTGCTGGCCGAGCAAGTGGGCATGCCCACGGCAACGCCCGAGGCTGCTTGTGGAAACGTGCTTGCCAAACTGTTTGGATAAGATCCGTGCTGCATGCTGGCGGAGCGCAGGGCGGGCGAATCATCAGTGTTTTGAACATTGCCATCGTTATTAGTGTTACGAGAGGACCTTGAGAAGTTTGTTAATGATTACAAGGCCACGAGAACTTCCCCGAGAATCCCCAGCAGCAACTCTGGGAAGCCATCGGGGCCGTCTTCAACTCCTGGATAAACCGGCGTGCAAAGAGGCAGAGGCAGTTTCACAACATTCCGGAAAGCTGGGGGGCTGAAGTGACAGTGATTGCCGAAGTAAATTAGAGTGTTGCGGGAACTCTAAAGGGTTGCGGCGCGTGCTTTTGGTTCTGGCTTCGTCGCTGCATAAGTTCAATGAGTTGGCTCATCGCAAAAGCATGGGCAAAGCTTCAACACATATGGTGGCCCGACATTTTGTGCTTCATGGGCTTTCATGGTACTGCACACCATTTGCCCAAGTGAAGTAACAACAGTAAACCCAAACCTAGATTTGTGGAGGGATGCGAAACAAAGCTCCGCTGCAGAGTGCATGTGAGTCGTTGTATGAGGCAAGTAGATGAACCTTGTAACCATTTAGCGGCTTCCGAGACAGGTCGACGGTGAGGGTAAGGAAGGTTATACGCCGTGGCCGTTGGGTCACCTAGTTCTGCACATCAAAAATTTAGGTTGGGTTCGACGCTGGTTCTACTGCCCTAGGACTTGCCCTCTTGTGCTTCGTAGCTCCTCTAGGTATGACCTAAAACCCTAAAGCCCTGAAGCCCTAAAACCCTAAACCCCCCTAAGAAACCCTAAGACACCCTCAGCGCTCTTAGGCTCTGCTCGGCGGCTGCAGCGGCCCTGGTCCGGCAGTGCGAAGCGGGAGGCCAGGAGGTTCGGACGGCTTCCGCGGCTTTCGGAGGGCTTCGGCTTTAGGGTTTAGGGGTTTAGGGTTTACGGGTTTAGGGGTTTAGGGGGTTAGGGGTTTAGGGGTTTAGGGTTTAGGGCTTCGGCTTTCAGAGCTACAAGGCTTTGGTTGAAGATTTAAGGGCAGGTCCACAGCCCGCAAGAACCTCGAGTGCTTTCGGGAGCAGGCAGAGTTGAAGGAAAAGATGAAAGAATAGGGTTTAGGGTTTAGGTTTAGGGTTTAGGGTTTAGGGTTTAGGGTTTAAACCTTATAAGCCCAAAACCCAAGAAGGTTTGGGCACCTCATCTCCCGGACCCTCTGTTCCGAGTATGCAGGCGAGCTCACTTGTGAGGAGCTTGCAGAGTACTGCCGACGCATCGCCAAGGAGAGACATAGCTCGAGTGTTTAGCGGTTTCGGGTTCTGCAGAGAGCCGTAAGCCATGCACTCTACGTGCCAATGTTTGGTGAAGCTGACACGGGGGTAAACGCGTCCTGAGGCCTAAGGGTCGTGCAGGGACACTTCTGTTTTAATTTTGGGTTGTGCACGAGGCCTGTGGCCCCAAACCCTAAACCCTAAACCGTGAACCGTGAACTTTGAGGGACTTGGGAGCTGCTGTGAGGAGATTGGCGTGACCTACATCGCGACCTTGCGGGAATTGGCCACAGAGATTCGGAAGAAGGCAGCTCATGCAGAGGAAGTCTGGGTAGTGTAGGTGCACTGGTAGAAGCGGTTGAGCGGTTATCGGAAGTCGAATGCTTCGGAGACTTGCACAGTGCTGCGAACGTGAAGCAGTGAGTTCTGCCCTAAAGCTTTTTCGGCCTGCGGCGGTCTGCCCACTGACAGCTGGGAATGGCTTGAAACTGGACAGCTTCGTTTTCAGTGGTGGTATGTTCTGCTGCATCCATTGACTTGTCTAGATATGCCAAGTCACTGGTTTCAGCAAACAGCCCATATCCACGGCCGCCATGCAGATTGATGAAAATTCACTTTTCACCCTAAGCCAGAGACCCCCAAATCTGCATGAAACGCCTATAGTCGTGAGTTCTCGGAAGGGCGCCAAGCTTCCGGTGACAGAGATGGCAAAGCTGGAGAGGTCCATGGCCGGGCAAAGTGTTCACGGTGTTTAGTTGAGGTCCAGAGTGCGGGGGTTAGGGAGATTAGGGTTGAGGGTTTTGTGTTGAGGCCCGTGTTTTTAAAGCTTAGGCAGCAAGAGCAAAGGTCGCAGCAGGCAAATGCACAGGTCTCAGCCCAGCGCAAACAAGCCCCGGAATAAGAGCTCCAAAACCTTGACGACGCGACTATATGCTAATCCTCGGTTGTCAGTCTCGCGAACTCACTGTGTCATCTATTCCATCCTCGGCAACCCCCAAATCTCAATGGAAATGCTGACTACTTGGAAAGCATCACCCCGTGATCTGAGAGGCTGGTCAGCAGTGCAGCCGAAGTTGCTCCGGACTGAATCTGGAAAAAGAGCAGTAATGACCGAGAACTTGGAGGATGCGGCGTCTGAGGCCTGCTAGACTTCAGGTCCTATGACCGCGCCAGGTTCCTGTTCCTGTTCATGAACCTATGGCTGTGAGGTCTGCAGGGCTTTCACGTCAAAGATGTTGTTGTGTTGTGTCAGACTCTAAACCTGGCGGCATGTTGCGGCCATGCTTCCTGTGTCGAATGAGTGGTACCATAATCTTTGTTCTTCTCGCAGCTGGTCTTGGCTGATCCTGCGCTGTTCGGCGCTGTAACCTTGTCGCGATGGGAGAGTCCACGCTGTTTGAGGGGGCCGCCCTCTGGCTGCAGTCTTGTGGAATCTAGATTTATGCAGCAAGTCAGGACCGAGAAGGATTGCCTGCGTGCTAATGCCGTGGAAATTTGCAACCCGCTGTTTTGCTTGATGCGGATGGTGTATACTACAGCATGTTATAGTTTTATTTTTTTTATAAATATAATCTAGACTCAAAAAATAATCGAAAATAAACTATATAAAGATGAAATTTATTTCGGAAAGAATTTCTTAAAAAAATTCTATTTAACTATATATTACTATTTTGAATAATATTTTTCCGAATATGAATTATCTTGATATTCGATAACGGATTTTAATAATGAAAAATATAATTAAAATAAAAAATTCATTATATTCGATATAATGAAAAAATATAAATTATATCTGAGAATATCAAAAATAAAAATTGCAATATAATATAGATATTCATAATTCAATTCAATGATAATCTTTAAGAGATAAATCAAAGATATAGAAATTTCAAGATAGATATTCATATTAAAAATTTAAAATATCTTGAGAATTCAGAATATCTAGAATATAAAGATATAGAATTAAGATAGATATTAGAAGATATTTTGATAAATATTCATATTAGGAAATTTCTTATTTTTTCAAATTCATGATTTTTATAATAAATTAATTAATAAATATATAATTTTATAAATATATAAATTTTAAGATAACTATTCATATCATAAAAATATAATTTCTTTAAAAAATTTGAATATCTAGAAAATTTATATAAATTTATTCTTTAATTAAAAATATAGAAAATAAATTATAAAATAGATATTCATTTTTTAGATTTATAAATTATAATTAGAGTTGACTCGCTGCTTCCAACAATGGTATTCAAATAGAATATATAGTTTGGTAATATTCCGATAATGATAGCCTAAATTAGAAAATTTGCAGAAAATTTAGAGCGCCAAATCTCAGCGCGAAGGCGCAAATCTCGTGTAGCGGTACAGCTACGGACAAGTTGATATCGAATTCGTGCACGTAATTTTCCGACGCCACAATCAATTATGGACACTTGGTCATCTAATTATGCATATTAATATCGATTCATGGCGTCAGAGGTAAATTACGATTATTCATTTTTACGGCAGCTATCCCAAAGATGAAGCCAAGCTTCAAGTGATAGTACCTTGTGTCAAATTTCATCTAGAGTACCATACCGGAGGCCGAGGGCAGAATTATAAATAGGACGCGAGGTCTTTTGCATAGCCTGGGAGAGGCAACAATAATATAGAAGTGCAATATCCGTATATGTAATTTGTCGCCGGCTGCAACCTGGCTATATAGGAGCCAACGGCAATCATCAAATTGAGAGCACCTCACGATAGACTACATTATATATGAAGAACTGTCCTTCATGGAGCCCTTGGCCGAAGCAGTTGTCAGCCAAGGCCTGAATATGCTTGCGATAATTTATATTAGAAAGATAGATAGAGATAGACAGATAGATAAATAAATAGAGAGATAGCTAGATAGAAGGACCGATAGATCGACGGACAAATAGACAGATAATTACTGAACTTTCGTGTGCAAGCGCTGCTCCATAGCACTACAAGGGAAAATATCCCTCTAATCGATAACCCACATGAATAGATGAGGCACGAATTTCCAATATAAGATTAGATTATGGCTATAATACATATTCTGCATTTGGAATATAAGATATTAAAAGGCTATATTTATTCTCTAAATTTTCGAAATCTAAATTTTAAGAAACTTAGAGAAACGATAATTGATTTTTTTTCCGCAAATTTCGAGGCCGAAGCGTCGAACTACCCGGATCCTGGCCGAAGTGTCGAACTACCCGGATCCTCAAATTTTCTAAAAACTTTCAAATCTAGGCCTAGCCCGAGACCACTGAATGGGCCCTTCCTTTTTAAATTTAAAGGCCGAATTTTTATTTATAATTTTCTAGAAATTGAGGCCCCTAGATCAATCGAACCGATTCATGCACCGTAATTTACAAATTTCTCTAAAATATTGAAATCTAAGCGCACCGAAACGTGCTACACCATGTAGAACGCGTATAGCCTCCTTAAAATTTTGAGATAAATTATATCAGAGAATCAGATAGACAGACGGAGATAAATAGTGAGAAAGAAAAAAAGAGAGAGAGATAGAGAGATAAAGAGACAAGGAGATAAAGAAATAGAGAGACAAAACGACAGAGAGATAGAGAGAGAAAATCAGATAGAGAACGAAAGATAAAGAGAGAGAAATCGAAAGAGACAAAGATAGAGAGACAAATAGAGACAGAACCAGACAGAGAGAAAAAGAGAGAGAGAGAGAGAGAAACAGAGAGAGAGAAAGAGAGAGAGAGAG